GCGCGGCGGGCGGTGTGTCGCGCAGACAAAATAAAAACACGGCGAAGGAAACGCACAGGCTCGGGTTCATCCGCGTCCTCCGTGACACAGCTCGTCTGGGATCGGGCGCCATGAGCGAAGTGTGGTGAAACGGCTTAGCTGGGGCGTGGGCTTCATACGTCGAGGCTGCGGCTACTGTCAGATTGTGAACGGAACGGTTAGATGACCTATAAGGAAAAAAAAGTGGATAAAAAAAAAATAAACAGCACACCAGACAACTGCAAAGTCTTTTTGGAGACGTATATCAGATGCAGAAGGAACACAGTACATACAGGGGCTGTAATTCAATACAATATATAAAGACACTAATTCAATACTTCACATTACTGCAGATGCTGTAGTTCAATACATTGCATATGGTGGACTGTAATCCAATAAGTACATACTGAGGTTGTAATTCAATACATTACTTGCAGAGAATGTCGTTCAATACAGTACATACAGAGTCTATAGGTCAATACAGTACATACAGGGGCTGCAGTTCAATACAATACATACAGACTCTATGTCAATACAGAGACTGTAGTACAATACAGAGTCCATAGGTCAATACAGTGCATACAGGAGCAGAACTGCCTCTGTCCCTGCAGCGAGGCAGGGCTCCTGCACACCGATCCCACAGTGTGACATCACGGCTCTTTGTGCATGGGCTGCTGTCGCACAGCGGTCATGTGAACGCGCTGAGGAATAGAGGCCTTTGTGCAGACACCTGTGTGTCTGGGCTGGGCGCAGGGAGGGAGGCAGCATTGTCCCGGCCTGCACCGCAGAACTGCCACACCGATTGCGGATTCCGGCTCGGGGCCTGCCCTGGAAGAGTAGGGATAGCAGGAGCAACAAGTTCAGCAGCTGTTAGAGCAACACGCTATGGGCGCCGATAAGGAACTTGAACAACGTTCGATATGTATCAGAAATGAGTGTCGGGGCAAATTTCATTCGCCCCCCCCGGCCGATTTTGCCCCTGGTACCTCTTTATTTCCTTCCATTATCCGACAGCTGGTGACAGGTTGGTGCCCAGGGCAGGACCACAGGCCTGCTACAGAGCCACGGGGAAAAGGGACCTTTTAGAGGGATGCTGGATTGTCTCAGGGAGCACCTGGTGAAAAACCCATGTGATCACAAGGTGGAACATGCAAACTCCACACAGAAGGATCCCCGGTCAGGCTTCAAAGCCAAGCGCGGTGCTAGCAAGCCGCCCACACAATCCCATTTGGAGATGATGTGAAATGCACTTGAAGTCACGGTGTACACACCTCCTCTTCCTCATGAATTAACCATGAGCTGCCACTTACTGTAAAGCATTATCCAATTCGCAGATACAGTACGTGTTCGTACAGCGCTGATGAGAACAGCCTCAGCAGAAGCTCAGAGGGGAGAGATGAGAGCCTGAGCGTCTTTTAAGTTATTTACCACCTCAGGAGAGGATCCATATCCTTCGACGCTGCGTTTCCCAGAACACATCAAAACACTCACTCTCCTGACAAACAGCAGAACAATCAGGCGGCAACATTAGGGAGCAGATCTTGTCAAGGCTGTAAGTGGACAGAGGAGATTGGCAGTGGAGCCGCCCAAAGGAGTCCAGAGGGGTGAGAGGGGGCAGGAGGGAGATAGGGGCACATGACTGGTTACCTTCACTCCCTGGTCAGGCTCCCTCACTGTCTCCCAGTGCAGGACTTTTCTGTGTGTTCAAATCTAGTTAGTAACCGTGGGCCAGCCCCTGTAATCTGTGCGTTAACAGGCGATAGTGTCCTACCCAGTTGTAAACAACCTCACCATCGCCACCGTTGAACTTTGGACCCGTAGGCTGCAGGAGTGAGAGTTCAGGAGTCAGCTTTGTTCCTGAGACAGGGAACGTCGGGGGCACACGCCTTAAAAAATAAAAAAATCTAAAATAATAAACTGCTCCTCAACATTTGTGTTTTTGGTTGTGTCTCTATGAATGGAGAAAAACACTAAAATCTGTCATGTGCTCACACATTTTCCTGTCTGAAGCTAGAGGCAAGGACTATGCATGCTTCACAGGTGCTGGTGTCTGAAGGAAATCCTGCCGGAGTCATCAGGCCAGTGTGGAGACTCTGGAGCTGGAGACTCTCTCTGGAGCAGGAGACTCTGCTGCTGCAGAATGAGGAGAGGGACGGTCATGGGGATCGGTCAGCAGGGTCTCCAGTGTCCACGATCAGCCGATCAGCTGGCTCAGCGTCGGGGACACCGTGATCAGCTGGCCCGGTGTCAGGGACACCTCGATCACCTGAAGAAGTGGGCAGCACTGCCCATGAGGACAGACTTCCTTATTGCGCTTATTTATTATGCTAATCCAGCTGAGACATATTTTGTCCACTTGACATATTCTGTGGATCTTTTTTGTTGTTTTAAGTGAGGTCAAAGAGGGCACAACGTTTTTGTCTTTTATTTCTTCTTAATCTTCATTAGAATAGTCAATAGTAATGCTTTATATGCACTTTTCCTGATCCTTTAGATTACAGTGCACTGTGCAGAACCTGACTTTTCTTACACATAGTGTATTACTATGTCTAAAGGAGGCACCCTCTCTTTTTGACACAGCTGCTCAGTCGCCTGATACACAAGTGACAAGATGAGCTTACTGCTTCGGAAAACCATGCTGATTTCCCATCTACAGTGGAACCCTCCTTGAGACGGTGATTGTATTCAGAAATCTGGTGCCTTAAAGGTCTGATAACCCTGGTCTGCAGAACACACCACTGGCAGGCTAAAGAGCTGAAATAATAAACATCTGATCAGCACTGAGGCATGGTAATACTCACACAAGAGCCAAGGCTTACAGTGTTACTGACGGCTCAGTGCTCAGACCTCATTGTTCTGTCTGCAGATTGGGCCTGTTTTGGTGTTTATGTAAATATATGCACAGGTCCAAACGGGCTCTGTCTGTGCTCCCTCATACCTTCTATTTGCCAAACTAGAGGAGCTGGCCAGATGCCTCTTGTTCTTTTTAAAATGACACTGATCGGTATCAAAGCACCACCTGAACAGTGTCATTGTCGGCAGTTCCTAAACAATAACAGAAAGCAAACAGCATGGACTAAGAATAAAATAACACGAGCCGAGCGTGACTCTTTGTGTAACTCTTACTGCTATCGCGCAAGTCTTAGCACAGGTGTTGCCGAAACAGAAGACGTTCATCCTCAATTAAATCTCTCCATCTTAAAAGCATGGTTATGGGCTACAGCATTAAAAGCTCTCTGGTTATTGTAACATCATTAATCATTTGCGGGAAAAAGAGGGGCTGCTGCTTGGCTTTCAACAGGTGGAGTCTTTACGTTGCGTTAAAATCGGAGACTTGCAGCATTGCCTAGGGCTGCCTCCCTGCTGCCGGAGACTGGCTGCTCCTACAGTCCGCTCACCCCTCTGCCCTGTGTTTGCCGTGAGAGGATTAAATCTACATTAGCGCCATTATACAGGTGTTTGCACTCTGCTGCCTGCTGGGAGTGGTCCATTTAAACACACACAGAGCAGGACGCATGGCTGAGGTGCAGGGTCCTCTGGGAGCCCCACGGGGCTCTGCAGTGAGGCAGGACCTGACTCTGCCTGCCTGGTCCACTTCTGGTGTCCCTGCATCGTGCCACCACCTGCCCCTGCCTGTCAGGGGTCCTGGGCCACTGCCTGAGGCCACAGCCTCACTGTCTCGACTCTCCACAGCCTCCCTGCCTCCACTCTCCACAGCCTCACTGCCTCCACCAGCCACACCCTTACTGTCTCGACTCTCCACAGCCTCCCTGTCTCCACTGTCCAGAGCCTCACTGCCTCCACTGTCCACAGCCTCTGATACACCAAAAGCACAAAAGCATTAAATAGTCCTCACTCAGGATCATGCATGAGTGTGTGCTTTTTAACTTTTTAGTCTAGCTTTTAACTTTTCACTTCTTTAACCTCATTAGACTTTTAAATTTAGGCACATTTAAATGCAGATTTGACTGTATAATTTTTGCATTGTCAGACAAACTGGAGACTGTTCCCCCAAACCGTCAGTCGCTGCAGCACAGCAGATGAGTTCCAATCCACAGTGGAAACAGCTGATTAATAAAACCATATCACCCTTGACACTCACGCACTCTTAAAATCAAGCACTGGAAAATGACCCGGTACTGACCTTAAAATCACCGGTAAAACAACTTCAAGTTCCATAAAAACAGGTGTTTTACAACTGGACAAAATTACCAACAAGAACAGCAAAAATGAGGGCGCATCAGCGGATCCGAACCAGATCAATGAGCCATATTGCACCTGTCAGAGAGCCTCAGTGCCGAGCACGGGCGGCAGGGGGTGAGCGGACACGCCGGGCTGCCTTAGAATAACTAACGCTCCCATTGGCCACCCGCAGGCGAGGGGGTGTGGTGTGGTAATATAAGTGGGCGGGGAAATATCGGCCGACACGCCTTCTCCGCGTTCAGAGAACGGGGTGAAACCTGAAGGGGGCGGGTCCGCCTCCGGGTGGGGGGCGTATCCTCGGCCACGGAGCAGGCGGGGCTTACCGCACTTCGCCGGAGCCGAGCCGCGAGCTGCTGTATTCCGCCGCCCGAGCTCGCCGCCGACGGAAACTTGGGAAAGACTTGGGAGCAAGTATCGCGGGCTCAGCCGGGTCCCAGGCACCAGCGCAGGGGGGGGACGACCAGCAGCGACCGCCGCCGGGATCTGCGAGCCATGTTAATGAGGGGTCCGGCGCCGGGGGCGAGAGAGAGAGAGAGAGACGGGGAGAGGATGCCGAACTCCACCTGAGAGCGTCTTTAATTAGAGCCAACCAGACGGGCGAGGAGTGAACTTCACTTCACGGCGACTTCCCTGCCGGGACTGCGGAATCTCACGTGGGGGTTTGATTTACACAAAAATAATAATTATCATTTAAACATGGCACTGCCCTGAAGAGCCTTTTTGTAGAAGAGACAAAAAACTAAAACACCGCGCTGCCGTCGCTGATGAAGACGTTCAAGTTGGGGGGGGAAATCTGGTGAAGAAGCACGGTTGTCATAAAGGCACACACGGGCGTTGAACAGCCTGCGATCGTGGCTGGCGAGAGCTGTGCAAATCACGCCGGCGCTGCTAATTGAAAACGACCAGGGAGAGAAATACTTTTTTTTTTTTCCGCTCTAGCGAGAGGGAGCGGGGACGCGGGCGGTGATTCACTCTCCCTGCGCGTGTTTCAGGCGAACCGGAGCCCCCCGAACCCTCGCGGCGAGCCCCGCTC